TGCCTGACTCGGTACCGTGCCTTGATCGTTCCATCGGGGAGGCAGAGGCGATCACTTCCGAGTGAAGCACTGCGGCAAGCTCAGCCGACGTGAGTCGCTGACGCATGAGCAGATCCTGCAGAGATGGACTCGCAGCCGGGAGGAGTTCCTCGAGGATCCCGCTCAGCACCTGGGCACTCAGGGTGGCATCGGCAAAAGGAATTTCGGAGGCCGGCACGAGAGGCTCTATTCCGTCAAAGCCCGGAGGCAATGGGAGTTTCGAGCCATCAGTTCGGGTCGCTTTTCTCAGCTCCGTACGGAGCATGTCACACAATGCCACAAGCGGCTGTGTGCCGACCCCTGCTTTAACCCAAAAGACGGTGACAGGGCATTCTGTCACTCCGCACACACACGCCCCTCAATGAGGGGCGAAAGCCGCTGTTTCTCTGTCAGGAAGATGCAGCTGCGCTCACCACAAGGTCGAACGAATAGTCCACGCGTCATATATTCCGCTGCGTAGCAAGTTGCATGAGCATGTAAGTCAAACCAAGCAAAGATTTCAACACATATGCGCAACAACCGAAGAGCCGCAGCCTGGAAGCAGCAGGTGTGGCAAGTTACATGACCACGCATGACAAACCAAGCAAAGATTTCAACACATATGCGCAACACTCGAAGAGCCGCAGCCTGGAAGCAGCAGGTGCGCCGCCAGTGGTGAGACGTAACTATGAAGAGGTGGCTGTCTTCCCTTTAGTGAAACCTCGTTCCTGGTTAAATGCGAAATTCCACTGATCTATGACAAGCACGTTGAGGTCAAATTTTCCGACAGAGCCGGCCCGGGGTCACACGATGGGTACACCCGAGGATTCCCCACGAATGGGGTGTACACACTTAAACTCCAGATGGAGGGCGCTAATCTTTCGAGTACAACTGGTAAGTCTCGGCTTGGATAAGGTTCTTCATGCATAAGTTTCGGCTCGCAATGGCGGTTTCCGCGGGCAAAGAGGGGTCCGTTTAGTTGGGGTAGCCCACCAGCTGTCATCATAGACCCAGGTGCGGCTTGCAGGTACGTTTCACGAGAATCATGTGGGGTCTTCGTTGGCAGCCGCCCACATGCTTCTCCGGCTGGCTGCCTGACTCGGTACCGTGCCTTGATCGTTCCATCGGGGAGGCAGAGGCGATCACTTCCGAGCGAAGCACTGCGGCAAGCTCAGCCGACTTGAGTCGCTGCCGCATGAGCAGATCCTGCAGAGATGGACTCGCAGCCGGGAGGAGTTCCTCGAGGATCCCGCTCAGCACCTGGGCACTCAGGGTGGCATCGGCAAAAGGAATTTCGGAGGCCGGCACGAGAGGCTCTATTCCGTCAAAGCCCGGAGGCAATGGGAGTTTCGAGCCATCAGTTCGGGTCGCTTTTCTCAGCTCCGTACGGAGCATGTCACACAATGCCACAAGCGGCTGTGCCCTGCTTTAACCCAAAAGACGGTGACAGGGCATTCTGTCACTCTGCACACACACACACACACACCCACGCACGCACGCACGCACGCACGCACGCACGCACGCACGCACGCACGCACGCACGAACACACACACACACACACACAAACGGTTCCTGGCGCGTTCTCTGAGACCCTGGCGCGTAGTGGTAGGGGTAGAACCAAGTCCAGGAAGGGCAGCCCTGCAAGAAAAACAACGGGGAAAACACCCATAATATATGTATACATATATATATATATATATTTATTCATTTTTGTGCGGTGGGCTGAATGGGACATCCGCGCCGGTGTATCGTCTCATATGGCGTCCCTTGCGGTGAACCGGAAATTCCATGAGGAAGCCTTCATTCTCAGGGCTGAACTCCTGTAGGCCGCTTTGAAACCCAAGGCTCACTTTGGCTCAAAGGCGTTTCAAGCAAACCGACGCATTTTTTTGGGGGGGAGGTGTGAAACAGCCCCCTGTCAGCCCCTGTCAAGGGACGCACCCCTAGCGGGTATGAAAGGGGCACGCAACTCAGCCATTACCAGCCGGCCCATTTCAATGAGCACTTGACTTACAGGAACGAGCCTTATTTTTGGCCAAGTCTTGCTTTCAAAGGACAGGACATAGGCCCTAATATGAGAATTGTGAAACTCACTAGCCCACAAGGACCCTCCTCCAGTAGGCGTTCATGCATCCAACATTCAGAACCTTGGCAAAGGGGCGCATGCCCATCGTTTCAATCAGTCGAAACGCACTTTTTGCAGTCGGACATGCCAACTTCCGGAGGATTCTCTTTGAGGCATAGATGACTTTCGTGAAGCTTCAATTGGCAAAGCACTCATGCAAGCTCACAGAGTCAGCGAATGGCCAAAGCGGATGGCTCTCGGGATTTTGGCTTTGACCCAACTGTCGAAGCGTTTTTATGCTCGGAAAAGGGCTGGTATCCACGATGCTGTTGAGAGACAATTTGGTTGACTTTGAGTCGGTTTGGGTTGGCTTGGAGCCGATTTGCGCCAGGTGTGCGGCTGGTTTTTGCAGTGGTGTTCGGGTTGTTTCAGGGCGTGATATACAAGTTTTGGGCTGGCTTGGGATTGGTCGTGGGGCGTTGCCCCAAACCACCAAAATTAGCCCAAAACTCGGACAACCAGATCCCTAAAGCAACCCTTGGTTGCGCGAGTTTTGGGCTAGTTTGGTGGTTTGGGGCAACGCGCCACAACCAACACCCAAACCAGCCCAAAACTTGCATATCACGCCCTGAAACAACCCCAAAGCCACTGCAAAAACCAGCCGCACACCTGGCGCAATTCGGCTCCAAGCCAACCCAAACCGACTCAAAGTCAACCTTAAACTCTCTCAACAGCATCCTGGATACCAGCCCGTTTCCGAGCCTGAATGAATCCAACTAAACCCAAGACCCGCACTCATTCAGACCTCAGCAGGCCCAACACTCACCCGAAATGAGCCGAGCAACGCTGAACTGCCACCCAATCATTTCCAATAGGCAGCCCTAGTCCGAGCGAGGCCGGTGATGCTGGGATGCGGCCAACCAACCTGACCCCCAGCCTGGCCAACCGACCGACCAACCGACCGACCAACCAACCAACCAACCAACCATAAAAAACACTGGTTCCGTGTCTAAAGCAAAATCAAATAGATGCCAGCTCTTATGGATTGGTGGAGGCCCTCCAAGCACAGCGTTCCGTTCCTGGTAGTAGTAGACCAGGACCCAGCACAAACCCTCCACGTAGGCTTTCCGGATACGCTGCAAGAAATCCACGAGGTCGTCCTAGCGCATCAAATCCCATCTTTCGATTTGTGAGCCGTGAAACCATTGGAAGGAATAAGGGTGCACATGCAAGAATTCGGATTAGCCCCACGGGGCCGCACTGATACGAGGAATCCCTCTTGGATAACGTATGAGAACTCTCACTCAGTAGCCTAATTTGTATGGCCCTCCTGATTGCTCAATCCGAAGATGGCATTTCACGCAGAAGCAAAAATATCGCGCCACAAAGTCATTGCTCTGGCAATGTTCCAAAGGGAGACAGCTCCTGGGGTACTCACCACCTTTAGGGACAAACACGGCCCCAAAAATGGCGGCTTCGGTTGCTCCCTCTTCCCCAAATGGGCGGTACTTTGCGCACTAGCATATTGGACAAAATGTCTTTGGGCCAATCGCCAATAGCTTTTCTGCGGTCCGTCCTTTCAAAGCTAGCTTGTTGAATGGCCCCGCGGAAAAGTGCCGGACCCCGCTTCAAGGTATGCTCTTCGTCCCCCCCTTCGCAAAAAAAAGGATCCCCTCCAAGATGAAATCGCTTTTTCGGGGCAGGCGAATATGAAGCTTGCATATTTGTTGGAGGGAGTTGGGCCAAGAAACAATAGCTAGACAAAGGGGCTTGGCGCAAACCCCGAACAAAAAGGCAGGGAAAATGGGGAAGGGCCCCTTTGTTGGGTCCCCCCCGTCGCCCGTACATTATCTCTAGCGAAATGATGTCCCTTCGGGAGGTTCCCTGCCTCAACCAAAGGTTCCCCTTTTAGCCAACCTGTGGGTAGAACCATTTGCGGGTGTCTATCAATAGCCCGTGGAATTGGATCCGTGCTTGAAACAAAAGAAGGCGTGCCACAATTTGGGGAGTGCGCAAAAGTGCATGTCTCGACGATGCCCGCCATCCTGCTTGACCTTGAACTTCTCAAAGTAGTATCGCCTCAGACTGAGGTGGTGCACACCGGCAGCAAGCAAGAGCAAGCCAAACGGCAGCTGAAGAACCAAGCACATCTAGCTTCAGCTCACTTTGGTAGAATCAATGTCCATGCGCGGCAATGCGTCCGGCGCCTTCTTTGCTATCTTGCTTCAATCGTAGATGAGACGTCCTTAAGACTCCATCACGGCTGGCAACGTAGCTCTTGGAGGTTTTGTGCAAAGCAACTGCATATGAGCGCCCCAGCTGGATCAGTCCACTGAAAAAAGTGTTTCGAAGTGGACAGAGGGGAAATCCGAAATGAGGCAGGCAAGGAATAGATGGGGAGGTCCTGGACACCCCTGAGTTCGTCTTAGTGGAAACTCCCAAGCTGGTTCCGGAAACTTCCATCTGGTACTTGACATCCGGATTCCCTCCTCACATCCCCCCAAGCACACAAAAAAACTATATATATATATATGTAAAAAAGTGAATCTGTGGATGTAGATGTATCCATTGAAAAAGGCGGCAAGTGGGGACCTGTGCCCTGCCTGCGCTTCTCCTGGACAATTAGTTGAAGTAGTGCGCTTCCTGAAACTAGTTGGACCCTTTTTGGATGCTGCAGAAGGAAACCAACCAGTGGTGGTGAGGGACATAGCCATTCTCCAGTGGATGCATGTGGGCTGGTGTGGGCTGGCTTGTCCTTGTGATCCATACCTAAAAGGGGGGCGCTCCCCATTTCGGTGTGTCCAAACACAGGTGACCCCCAAACAGTTGATTTGCCGGTGGAACATCCTCTGGAAGGGTGTCCAGCTAATTGTATATTTCCTGTTAGCTTCAAATGCAATCCACAAAAATGTCGAACACATGATTGGTTGAAGCCGATTCTGGGCAGGTGGCTCTCCGGTGTCTTTTGGTTCCCTTTAGCACACTCCCAACAAGAGGACCTGCCTCCCCATAAGACCTGGTTCCTTTCATGTCTCTTTCCATCATCACCCCAATCAAAAGGTCACTCATTTCAAAATGGCAACCAGCATGTAACATTTCAGTCACCCAAAAGGAAAACTCAGCCGGACCCTTGCAAAGCCGAGTCTATGCCAATTCCGTCTCCTTTTCAGTTTCCCTTCATCATGTGCTCAGCTTGGGGGACGTTTCAGTACTGTACGAAGATTAGCATCAAAAAAAAGGCCCTGTCCCTCTCCCCACCAGCTGTTTGGATTCATAGGGGATGCTTCCCAAAAAATGGTGCGAAGCCTTCTTAAGTTTGACGCTTCCCGATCAAAATCAGACAGAAATTAAGTTCTGGGTCAACATTAAGCACATACATCGAAGGCAACAAACAAACAAAACCAAATTAAACCTCGCAGCGAAGGCCAATTGACAATGTGGGTGTGTCCCCAAAAAAACGGAGACGAACCCACAAAATGGTTGAGGTCCTTTTGGTTTTCCTTTCAAGCCACCCAAGTACCCTCCCCAAAAAATGGACACCACATGCCATACGCTGGAAGGGCGCCACACGCCATTCGCTTGTCCATTTGGTTAAGACCCCTGGAAAACATGGAAAATGAGAACATATGTCCAGTGATGTTGATGTTTTTTCTTTAAGAAAAAAAAAAAAAAAAACGTTTAAAACCCAACCAGGGCAAAATAAGCCAAACAAAAGCACAGTGATACATTCATTTTAAACCCAACCAGGGAAAATACAAAGTTGACGCTGTTTTTTTTCTCACCTTTGAACCACCAGCACCTGTAAGAACCAACCATTGGTGATTAATTCTTCAAAATGAAATATGTCCAGTGATAAAAATCCGTGTAAAAACCCACCAGGCAAAATATGAAGAAACAAAATCAGCAGCTTCGATTCTCCAAGGTGCTGCTTCCAATGAGGACCTTCCCCCAGGCGCACGGTGTCCGCCACCGCCTCTCCCAGGTCCTGGCGGTTGGTCAAGCGCTCCCGGAGCGCCTCGCCGGCGTCGAAGGCGCGAAGGCATTGAAGGCGGCGTGGGTTGGAGGTGTGGCTCGGTTGTTCGTCCCCAAAAAGGGCCCCCCACTAACTCCCACCCGCACATGGGAAGGTCAATATTCTTTGCAGCCCTGGAAGTGGAATTTGGTGAGGCAGCCCCAGGTTCCCACTGAATGTTGGCTCAGTTGTTCAGTGACCCTGGAAAAGAAAGGGAACCCTTTTTGGGGAAGACCATTTTTAGGGCAGCCACCAAAATAAAATGAAAAAATGGTGCCACTGAACAACTGAGGTGGTGAGTGCTGGCAGCGGCGCCTTGTGTCTTCTGCTCTTTTTGTGGGGGGAGGGGGGGCTTCTTTTCTGTTGGGGCGGGAGGGGTCCTTCTTCTTTTCTGTTGGGGAGGGGGGGAGGGGGTCCCCTTCATGGTTTGGATTGGAGGTGCGGTGTCCCAGCGACCCTCTAAACAAGTCAGGGGTAATCCCCAAAAAGAAGGGAAGCAAATCCTCAAGCCAACTACGGGTTAGCTGACACTCTTTGCACACAAGAAAATGCTTTGTGCACAGCCAAAACCAAGGAGTCTACCCAAAACCCAGGGTAAAAACTCAAAAGGCCGGTAATTTGGACTAAAACCATGCCTTTGGCGCCCAAGCAGTCAACGCCCTGAAGGAGGTGAACAAAAAGTGGATCCAACCAGGCCCCTATAAGCAAGCTAAGGGGTGGGGTATATAAGGGCTTGTCTCAAGCTAGGGGAACTTGGGGAACCTCCAAATGGATTTCGGACTTCCTATTTCGGTTTTCCATTAAAAACAAATCCCAAAAAGGGTACCTGTCTTGGTTGTGGCTTTCTGATGTTGACACCCTCTAAGCCCACAGAGGTACTTTCGGCGTCGCAGAACTCGTTTGTTACATTATTCAGTACCACTAGGAGTGCTTCGCATAAGGTTGAGAAGTGTTGGATCGGTCCAAGTTGTTTCTGTCCGATTCGAGAATCCTTCAGGACACATGTTTGAGTGCAAACTTAAGTATAAAAACAAACTGCAAACACCTTTGTCCCCAGCACACCACATGTGTCTGACATAAACAGTGGCCCATTTCGACTCATTCCGGAAAGCTGCGCTCATCAGAATTGACCACGATTGGAATGGGGCGGAATCCCCGACAATGCGATCTTTGTGCAGCGCAAATTTGCCTCTTGCGTGCTCGCAAAGTCTTAGAGCTCATTGGATGCTCGGTTCGACTCTGGCATTGCATGTGCCCATCCAAGAAAGGACAACCATCCGAATGCTCTCTGCTCTCTCCTAAGGTTGAAAAACCACCAATTCCCTGAAAGCTCCAACTCCTCTTCTTGCTTGGGGCCTTCTCTGAAAACACGGATACCTCAGAAGCAGAAAAAAAAACACTTCTGCCCTGGCCTCAGAAATGTTAAAGGCCCCTCGCCTGTGGCTGGAAACAAACAACTGGGAACTCTGTCCTTGACCACCTGTGAGAACAGAACCCCAAATACCTGGTCTAGCAGCCTGAAAAAAATACAACCACATGAACTGCTGAAATTTCCGCATAGCAAAATAGAATTCTCAAACTAGGTCAAACATACAGAAGGGGACGCCATGAGGGTTGTGCTTTTGCACACCGGCGCTCTCCGGAAATAGAAACTTCCCCCAAAAATGGGCCGCGGCTTCACTGGTTCCCTTCCAAACCAAGCCCAAAACAGGCACCTTTGGCCACATTCCCATTCATTGTTGGGCCCCTTGGGTGGAAACAAAGACCAAAATTTGCGTAACCCCAGCCCTCAATTTTTGAGCCAAACCCTGGCCTACAAGAAAGAAACCCTGCCCACCACCTGGGTCCATTAACGCGCTTTGTCAAACTTCGCCTCGTCAAAACCACCCCACCCAACCCCCCCCCCCCCCCCGCGCCATGTGAAACTCACGGTCCACCACCTTCCCGGACTTGGCCTCCGGATCGAGTCGCGCGACACGGGGAAATCTCCGCGCGCAGAGCGAAAGGGGCTAGTCGGTCCAGGGATCCCGTCGCATCGAAAAAAAAGGAGGTAACCTGACATTTTCAGAGTGGGAAAAGCCATGCCTGATCCCTTCGCTACGGAAAAAAGAGGAGGATCCTGACATTTTGATGGTACCCAGAGGGTCCAAGTACCTTCTGAGGAGGCACTTGGACCCTTTTTCCCCCCCAAAAGCCATCCTCAGGAGGTATTTGGTAACCTGACCTTTGCGGAGTGGGAAAAGCCATTAATCTTCCTACTTGGCAGTTTGAAAGGGTTCTCATGGTAGTGGGAAATACACCTTTCTGCGATGGCAAAGTGAGCAGTTTGAAAGGGTTCATATGGTAGTGGGAAATGCACCTTTCTGTGATGGCAAAGTGAGCCATCCCTCTTCCTACTTGGCAGTTTGAAAGGGTTTGTTTCCCTTGCAATCACGGAAAAAAAAAAAAAAAAAAAAAAAAACACACACAGTGCTAAAACCAAGCTTTCCACAACCATGTGATCTCAATGGGGAAAACTGGTTCACTCTTCTTGTCGGGTTGTGTTCTTTGGTTTTGTGGCCTCGTTGTTTCAAGGGTCTCCCGTAAAACTGGTGCTCCTGGACTGTATCTGTCGTTCACTTAGCATATGGTTTGTGACTTAAGCTCTTCTTGTGGTTCTGTTCATTTTGAGGGGCCTGCAAGGGACCAAGTGCTGCTAATATATTGATATGAGGTTTGCTTTATGCTGTCTCATGTTTCTTGTGACATTCTTGGACCTTCCGCTCACCCTGCGGCCAAGCTTCCTCGTTTCATAAACCGTTGCTTCCGCGGGCACGTTTTGCTTACCTTTGCTTCCGCAGCCACAGTGTTGTTCGTCTTGGGCTTCTCTTGCAACTTATATGTTTAACACAAGAGCCTTCCGCGGAGCCTCCGCGAGGCAGTCCCATGAGCATGTTGCTTGAAGAATGCCCACGCGCAAACGCTTGGTAAAACGACCGGGACAAAAGCAAACCTATGGCACGAGGGGCTTCAAGAGCCATGGTGACTCTGGGCAATGCCCCGTCCCATGCGTGCCACAACGACATTTGCCGTAGCGGACATGGGTGAATTAGAGAGTCCCCCCGGCTTTCGTGGGACATCTAGAGAGGCCCCCATTCACTACTGGACATGTTCACCAAACCTCGTACAAGAAACAATGACAAAGTGACCAGCTGTTTCTGTGTCCCTGGGCTCAATTGTTTGACCGGTAGGTTTCAAAACCAACCTTTGAGCGGAAATAGCGCATGTTGCCACCATTAATCTACGTGACAAGCATGCACAGCGCCAAAAGGATCTGGAAAGACCAGTTGACCCGGTTCGGCACGTTACATCTATAAAGATCCAACAAGATTCAATCCATGCACGGATGCGTGCAACCAAATTGGTGGCTCTTTGCCGAACATTTTGTGGGACAAGTTTGGATCTTCTTCAAGAGATTGCCAAACCCACTTTCTGGAAGGGGGATAGGGCCTGGTTGTTCAAATACAGTTTGCCGAACCGTTAGGAATGGCAGGCCTTCCTCTGGAACTGCCACCTTTAGAGGGATAACCACACACTGTATATCCTCCAAATTCGTTTGTCTCCAAATCAAACGACTTCCAAAATCGATGGTCCATTGGTTCCCCTGTACTCTTCCCATGTGGTTTCCCAATCCGTACCCCACCTTCGAACCCGAACCTCGCGGCCCACGCGGCCGCCCACCGACTGCCGCGGCCCACGTGGAATCATCGCCTTGGTTTCCTTCGGCTGAGGCGGTTCCAAGGTGGAGTCCTGAAGGCGGGGGGCGGGGAGGCTCCGAGGCTCCGGGCGGCGGAGTGTTCGGGGTTTGGATTCCCCACATGGGTATGGGAATCCAAAATGAATTCACGGGACAGGTTTTAGTCCCTTCCACTTACTGGGGTTCCATTTGGGGTACCTATTTTTCACCTAATGGCCCGGATCGGGTTGAAGTAGACGTGATGGTGTCTGCACAAATTCGTGAGCCTGAACTTGAGAGGAGCGAAAGCTAGCACGGGAAAAAAAAGAGGACAGAGCTGGGAAAAGACTGGGGGCAACAAGTAGCGCATTTGTAAGAGGCAGAGTCAAGCTGTCAAACAAATTGGCTGAACGGACCGTGCGGGCGAGTCGATCGTCCTCCTGCTTGGGCCGCTTGGAGGGAGGCTCTTGACTGTCCAAGTTCTCAAAGTCCATGGAGAAGCTTTGGGCCTCACTGTCCATCGCCAGTTTAGTCACTTGACAAGGGGCCCTCCCTTGGTACAGAAAGTGGCAACACCAGGATTCGGTCTTTCCCCGTTACAAGCCATCCATGCAGGAAACAACAAGTTCCTTCGGCGGTCAACTCCCGGGAGTCAGAAATAAAGACAAGTTCCTGCTTCTGCATGTCCTTCACAAGAAAAATACCTTACTTGCCCCTTGGTCTTTCCAACACCGTGATAGAACTTGTGTGCGATTTAGCGCCCAAGGAAACTCACCCCCAACAACGCAAAAAACACATGCAGGGGCAGACAGGGGTCGAGCACAGGTATGCTTCCCCCAAACAGATTGGTGTTCGCTTGACTCCAAGCAAGCCCCCCATTTGTAGATCACTCCTATGCGTCATTGTCCGCATACAGCGAGGGTTGCCTTTATTAAATTCCTATTCAAAGGTCAACCAAAAAGGAAACTCACATTACATTGATTTTTTCCAAAAGGTGATGCTTGGACCCAGCTTTCAAGAAACCACCTCATTGAAAGAAGCCTTTTCAACAGGTGGTGCTCAAAACCTCTTTTGAACGGGAAAGGCAATCAATTTTCATGTACCCCTCATGAAACTAAGCACCATCCATGGTTCTGCTCCACTTGTAATCCACAAGCAGGAGAACAATGCACCCCGAAACCCCTAAATGGGTTAACTTCCCGGTGCTCAGGGAATGAGAACTGGAATGACCCCTTTGACCCCTTTTCAGTGGTTTCCCTTGAACTTTTCCACTTCACCTTCCCTCTCCCTTTAACTTGTGTTGACGTTGGAAGGGGAGCAAACATTTTAAACTTTAGCAGTGAAGTGGGAATTTCCCACCAAACCACCACAAGCAAAAATGTAAAGTTTGTTTCCCAACAACCACCATGCCAAGGGCTTGAATTTTCCCACCTTGGCCCACCCTCCAGCCCCGCAAAAAGTTGAGAAAGCAACCCCTCCCCTCCCCCCGCCCTCTGCTCTGCTCGGCGCCAAGGGGCCAGGAGCTGCGCGTGCCACGCCGAGGTGTCGGACACCTCCTCCTTGGGCGCTGTGAAGCTGGACTCGTCGCCTGCGACTGGGCTCTCGAAGCGGTCGAAGGCTGGCGGAGGTCGAAGGTGGGGGGTGTGGCGCATTGTGTTTCGTGTTTTTTTCTTCCAGGGCTGGGGTTAAAATTATGCGGGTCTCGGTCTTTGGCCCCATTTTTACCAAGGTGCCATTTTGGGACATCTTAGTTTCTTGAGCCGCAGCCAAATTGGTGAGACATTGTTTGATTGGTGAGTTGGTGAGTTGAAAGGGTCACACCAAAGAGCAACTACGGTCCTAAGGTCCTTCCGAACCGATCAGCTTGAGCGGGTTGCACGCTTCTTGTTGCAGCATGTCCGAAGCTCAAATCCCGGGTGCCCACATCTTGCAACCGACTAGCTGTCAACTTGTGCGTCTCCAATCCCGAAAAAAACAAACACGTGACCCCCCTCGAGGTTTCAAGGTTGCAGAGGGCAATCCACAGCTTGTTTGCATGATGATAAGGGAAACCGCTCAAGAGCTGAGTCGATAAAAAGGCCTTGAGCCGTAGTTTGAATGGAAAACCACTGCGCCGACAATCTTGCAACAACTTCGGATATTGCACGACGCACAGCTGGATCTTGGATAATTGACCAACTTGGATGCACTGGCTTGTCTTGCAACTGCCTCTAAAGCACACCAAACTCAACGTGAAAAAGAGGCGCGGTTGAAACCTGTCATGTATAGAAAGCCAAGTCTGCCAAGCCATGTTCACGCAACGTGTTGGCACAAGCAGGAGGTCAAGCATTCAGAACTTCCCACAAATAGATTGGCACTTCAAAATGAGACCATTTTGAGGCGCGCAATCACGTCGCGGAGTCCAAATTTTCACCGTGTTCAGGTCAGAAACAGGGGTTGCTTCCCATGCTTCCCATCAGCCTACCATGTGAAGGGTGGGGTGAAATTGATACAACATGCTCAGTTCGGGCTACATTTCAACCGCGGCCCTCTGCGCCTGTTGAGGCAAGGTCACCGCCCATCTGCCCTCCGCTCTGCGCACAGCTGGCCTGCCCCTGATCGGTGCGGCATATGGGGCGCATGGCTTGTCCTACTGGGAAAACCTCATGACAAGCAGTGCAACTCAAGCGAAGCCTAAGGCAAAAGTGCAACTCAAGCCTTGTGTCAAGCAAAGTGACACTAGTGGTTGGAGAACTCGGTCACACAATTCGGATGTGTCTTTTTAAGGCTCGGAGCCTTGATTGCCCTTTTTCGTTCTCGTTTTGGATTCCAAAAAGGGATCGAAGCACGTTGTAGCAATCTTAAGCGCATTTGGGCGATTCCAAAAGTACTTGTAGGGAACCTAAACATGAGAGGCTTCGTTTTGGCGTCCCTCTAAATACCGACCAATGGGGATCAGTTGGAGAAATCCTCATTGAATTGGGGAAGCCCGACAACTCCTTTCGCGGGGAAAATCTATGAAACCCCCAGTGGTTTGGGGTCCCATATTACTTGGTCTTGCCTTGGGTGGCAGCTCCATCCTGCGTGTAGTTTGTGATATGCCTTACACTTCCTCAAACAATCATAGAAGTACACAGTTTTTTTCACTCAACAAACATGGAAGTGTACAGCAAATTCCGGGTCTTACATGGCAGTGCACCTGCAAAATCTTTGTGCTAACATAGAAGCTGCACCAATACGATTTCGGTTCGTGCCAGGGCATCGCCTACGGGTATTCCCCGGGGAACGCTGGGGGACAGTTAAAACCGGCTTCATAAACATGGCACCTACGTGTGTTTCAGTCTGATCCCCAACCCACTCCTAACGTGGCAGCTTACACACCCTGCAACAAGAAGTTTTTCCTTCACGGTCGCCGCCCAAGTAGAGTATTGTTGCCCAAGCCAACCCACAGCGTTGGGACAGCGCAAACCGCACCCTGCGGCGCGCTACTGTAAAATCCGGGAACCCTCACTTTGACTGCTACAGGGGAAACATGACAAGATCCATGTTAGCTCAAATCAGTAGATGCCGACGTAATGCGTATTTGAACCTAATTGCCTCAGAAGGTCAGTGTCAATGGAGCCATTCACTGCCACCACTTCACTTGCTTCATAAACGAATATTCCCTACTTCGGCAGCGGCCTCATGCAGACTCCATCCCCGCTGGTCTGCAAAGGTCTTTTCCCCCCGCGCTGGCTGCTGATCGTGAGCATCTTGTGAGCTCGGACAAAGGTCGTGCGTGCAGCTCACCTTCCCAGGTCCACACAGGCGCTGGGATAGTTGTCATACACCATGCACTCGAAGTTGACGCCGCAAATCTTGCAGGACCTTTTGTTGGTCTTGCACTCAACCTCGCCCTCACAAATCGGCAGCTTCGGGGGCGCTTCGTGGAAGTCACTTCTGGCATGGCTTTCGATGACAGAACTCTCCGCCTGCATTGCGACCGACGTGGCCTCCTGCCCCGCGGTGTCGCTCCGCAAACTCCACGAAGGAAGGACGAACAGCATCATGGCGATGGACAGGAAGCGTGCCATGTCCGCCAGGAAGGAGAGAGAGAGCTAAGGGCAAACAACAGAACTAGGAGAAGCACTGCGGCATGCCATATCTGAACAAACTCGCGGGGAGAAGCTAAGTACAACCCGTGAGTTCCCGAAGTTGAAACCAGCCCCAAGTGGCGTATCTAGAAAGTCGCCTTTACACCATCCGAACAAAGGTCCAACCAAGTAGAGGAACCCAAACACCACCTCAAAGCAACCCCTTCCCCAAAAAAAAGACATATGAATTTGAAACTTGAGGAACCCAAAATTCCAGAAGCCGGTACCAAAATGGAACCCTGGTAAGTGGAAACATGGAAACATGGGCCAAAAACCTGCTCAAAACCCTCCTGTTGGCTTTTTTGGGCCTATTTTCAACCAAACTGACCTAAAGGGACACTTCTGCCGACGTGGCAACCTCCATCCAGCCTTCTCAGTCTCAGTATTTGCTCACCCAAAAAAACAACTCACTCCAAAAAAAAAAAACAAGACGCGGCGCGCCAGCGGAATCCTCCATCGCCTGCCTCTTCCACCTTGGAGGCCCGCTCTGTCTCCTTCTCCTGGCGCATCTTGGACTCCCGCTCCAGGCGGTTCTTGAAGACCTCACGAGGGCGACATGTTCGGCGAGGTTAAAAAGCTTTCAAAGGGGCCTGGAAGCCTGGTAATTCTCTGTTGCGGGGGGGGGGGGGGGTGATTTTGGAGGGGGGAGTAGTTCCTCTTTTTTTTGGCGGGGAGGTTTTGGTTTAGGAATATCTTATCGCGAAAGTGTCGGAAGCGGGGGGCAGGGGGGGAAGTGGGGAAAGGGGAAGTGAGAAACGGGGCTTTCTCATTTACACAAAGGACCCAGAAATGCAAGACTGACCTTCTTCGGACCTTTACTAAAAGTAGACCAACAAGGGAAAACCAAAAGGTCAAATGGTCAAACGGTTGAACAGCGAAGGTTTCAGCTCAAAGGGCTTGGTGAGTTCCCGGTGCCCCCGAATCCTTTCCTGGAACAAGAATGGCCCGTTTTCCGGAAACGTGACAGCATATGGCTGTGGGTCCGGGTCAAAAATAGGTACCCAAAATGGCACCCTGGTAAATGGAATCAATGACTAAAACCTGTGGTCCCCAGCTGGCGGTTTAATTTTGGCCCATACCCATATTTCTCAATCATTGCCGATGGTTGTAAGTTGAAACTTGACTAATGCTTGCGCACGGTGTTCCCTGCCCAGTAACCCCAAAAAACAACGGTTGTGTTTCCCGAACAAAGAGGCTTGGTGGGTTTCCCAACAATGCTGGGCGTCCTTTGAAATGTTTCCCAAAAAGGTTACCGGTCGGTAGTTGCTCTCCCAAAGAGTAGTTAGTTGGTTCCTAAGACAGGAACACTTCCGTCGATTGATGCTTCTGACTGAGAGAAAGCCATCAAGCAAGCCTCTCGGCTCTTTCCAACAACTATACGGGACTTTCTTCGTTGGTTTGAACCACTATCTGGGTGTACTCAACTTTAGGCGTGCAGAACAGGAGCTGATCAAACCAGACTCGGAACCTTGTGTGGGACGTGCATATCACCATGCCAACAGGAAATGCCATCAAGTTGGGCTACCTAAAGCTGACAATGCTTGAATCACCCGAACCAGGGAACTCACAATGAGGACCTCTTACAAAGTGGTGAGAAAGGGTGCATGTCAGCCACTGAGGGGACTTACGCCAAGTGTAAGTTGGCCGGTAGTAGTGGCTAAGCACTTGCAAGCGTATGAAGGAAACATCAGTACACCAACCCAAAATGAGCGGCTTATGCAGGGAGTCATCAACTAAGCGGTGGTCCAAACCAAGGTTTGGTGTCTTCCATGTCTGTCGCGAACCCTTCCGCGAACCTTGCGCGCCGCGAAAGCCGCGGAGCAGGGCCAAGCCAATTCGCTTGGAGCTTTCGCATCGTGCTTTCGCGAAGATGTTTGCTCAGATCCCCTTTCGCGAAGCTTTCGCGGCGTGTTTTCCCGTCGCGGCAACTTGCAGGACACCTTGACTAGCTTTCACGGGGACTTTGAACGCTCAACTGTACTTTTCGCCTTTCGTCCATTGGCTTCGTTGGGGGGAGTGCGTCTGAGAGAACAGTCTTGGGTCGACAAAAGTTGTTGGCACCTGAGCGAAGTCCTGTTTGGGTCAGTTCCTCCTTTCGCGAACCCCTGTTGGGATGGTTTTACTTGGAAGCTGACAGGAGATTAAGAAGCCCACCATGCGGGCTTCATTCGATCGCCCACGGAAGGGCATGAATCGGGTCAAAGTATCAAGTGGGGAAGCATGCTACCACATAGCAACCGGCCTAAGATGATGTACACATTAAACTCGGGAACTGAATCCCCTCTCGCCCGGGCTCTCCCAGTACATCACGAAGCCTGATCTGAGGCTATGTTTCGCAGCACTCGATGTCTGGAGCAAACTCGTCATGCGCAGGGTCACGTTCAGGGCTTTGTTGAACCACGTTGGCGAAGTCACAAATCCGTGAGCTCCCATTTGCATCTGGGTTTCTTCGTGCATTTGGAGTGGTGGCCGCCTGGTTTCTCATTCCATTTCAAGAAAGATAAGGAAACTGCCTGAATGCCACGACACTTCCCAGACCCAAGACCTGGCATGGTTGGCAGAAACACACAAGGCCAACACAAACATCAAACAATGAAGAACATGATAAGAACCCTCAAGCCCAACGCTTTTAGTTCCCACCAAGCAAGCGGGGCGGGGGCCGTCTTCACGCAAAACCTGGACAAGAATGAGGAACCTCGCTTCCCATGAGAACTCGCAGGCCCAGGACCCCCCTGCAAACAGTTTAGCTTTTTGGGGGTTTAGTGGAAAACACCTTATTTCCCAAAAAGTTAAAGTCTAAAGATCCAACCCAATAGCGGTCAAGGGAAATGCAATGGATTTCACTGGCAAATGATTACAAACCAAACTGAAACCAGTGGAATCCATCACGCCCTTTGGTGGGACTCATCTCCAACAATTTGTGAGGTATTCCAACCATTGACACTATTGTACAGCAAAGCACACATACAGCAGATGTTGGATGGCCCTCATATATAACCAAACTGACCCCAACAGCGAAGACCTATCATGGATGGACAAAATCCTGCACCAGTTGAGATGGATGCAGCCCTACTACTCCAAATACTACTTGATAAATCACCTACTTTTGGCTTCCCTTTAGGTCCCCCAGTTTCAGTAGGGGAACCCTCCCAACCAAAAAAGAAACGGTAAAAAAAGCCCAGCCTTTCAATTCCCTCGCAGAAAATTGGTCGCCGCACGAAAGCCACATCTGCGCCGGCCTGGTCCTCGATCCCGCCCAGGTACTCCAGGAACTGCTCCACCTGCGCGAGGTTCGTCCGCCCGCACTCCGTGAGATAGTCGTCCATGGACGGGAGCATCTCGATCTGGCACAGAACCCCGGGAATTGAATCTGATGGAACCCAAAAGGGGGAGCCTCCCAAAAGGGTCCGCGATAATTGGAATTGAATCTGATGGAACCCAAAAATAAGAGTCTCCCAAAAGGGTCCGAATGATCAGAATGGACTACCCTATGGGTCCCGTCAAGAAAAACATGATGTTCCACCCATGGGTGCCTTCTGTTTGTGGGAAGGTGGTCTACACCTCTATGGGAAAAGAACATGGATCTTCCACCCATGGGTGCCTTCTGTTTGCGGGAAGGTTCAAGGGCCAACAGCATTAGAACATGGTGGGGCACTATTCAGGAGCATCATGCAAGCCCCTTAAGGTCCTTGGCTTGGACGAGGCAAGATTGGTGATACATCATCAAGTTCCACCTCGTGCCGACAATATCTCGATATCCGCAAGCTGCGAGGTGCCCTAAAACTATTCCGGCATCTTCCACGCCCGGCACGGGCACCCTTGGGATTACAGGAAACCAAAACTCAGCAAAGTGAAGTGGACTGAGCTGCGGAAGGCCGACATCAGTGCGTTGAGGGTGTAGTGTCCACCATGTAAAGTGCGTGGCTCAAACCATCGCCCTGCTTGTTCGATCTACTTCACTTCCGGGATAGGTGGCGTTGTTGTCAAAAAAAATGGCTGACATGACACATTCTGCCCATGAAGACCGGCAGTCAGGCCCATATAGTACGGAATGGGTTTTGGCACCTTGGGGGGGCGTCATTCCTTGGGGGGGACGTCATTTACATGGCATTATGTCCACCAATCAAAATCTCATAAACGGTGTTCCCCAATTGAAGTATTGGGCACGCTATTGTAGCTTGTGCGGGAGCAAGTGTCAGTCACTTCGGCCGAGAAGCGTAAAGTGCCATCATCTGATCAATGCTTCCGTCGCGGATGCTTAAAGATGGCAAATGGGGCAGGAAGTCATTCCCCACAAAGAAGCACATGAAGACCTTGGAGCTCATGGCAAGTCCTCTGATATTGCCGAGGTTTAGCAACTCTGAACTGGAATTGCTTGCGCAAATCAAAGATGCAGGCCCCTTCACCCGTTCGCTTGCAACCTTCAGCTACCGGGCACCAGCATATTTTTGCCCCCGGCTTGCAGTGATATGACCCATCATGCACTCAAGGCAGCCAGTCGCCATGTGTGCCTTTCTGCACTCAGGTCCGGACAAAGTCATCCACACACCTGCCCAAACAGAGCTTGGGGCCGTTTGCGGTCTGACAACAAAGCTCTCATCTGGATAGCCGGTTCCAGCAATCAAGCAGTAGCAAAGTTGATGCGAAACCACTTGCGCCCCGAATGGAATATCATAGAAAATCACTTTAGACATGGGTCTTTTGCCAAAAAAAAGGATTCAAATGCTTGACAGATCCGACACAAGGTGTGGGAGTTGCCTCTCGAAGTCGTAGGGCACGGCAGGCGACATCCTTTCTTCAATCTCCGCGAATTGGAGTTGAAGATACTGACCTCATACTCCAAATCCGCTACCGAGCCAGTTGGTGTCCAAACGACTGGGGACCGCGGCTTGAAAGGAGAACGAGGCAAACACCGATTTGCAGGAGTCCGTGATGGCAGAATGCTTTCTGGCACACACGATAAGAAGCAGAACATGCCATCCAACCCCCATCCATCCACCCATCCACCAATCCATCCATCCACCCCATCCATGCTACCAGTTTGGTAGCACGGTCTCTGCCGAAGCCTTGCACCTTGCATTTCACACGCATAAATACCAGACCCTCTTCATTTGAAAGAGTTTTTAGCAGGTCACTCCCAAAGATCTGCTCCGTGTGGCAGGTGTGCCAAGGAACTGACACCCTCAAAAGGTGGCTCAAATGACAACCCCCCTCCAAAGGTGACTCGAAAAACGGGAACTCTTTTTGAGGTATACCATTTTTAGTACCCACAAACAACAGGGCAGGAACAAAGCGTGCCACTGAACAACTGAGCCAAGGGACTTAGTGCCAAAAGGACGAATGGCTGAGGCATGGGCGGAGCACAGGCAGAGACACGATCTGGAAAGGCTTCCTTGGGCAAAGGTCGCGACAGCCATTGACAAACGACTGGGATGCGCTAGGCCTCTCAAACTTAAGCCAGGAGTTTTCCTTTGAAAGAATAGCTCATGACATGATTGGGTCAAGAGCAAACGAGTATAGTCAAGTTTTGAGTTGACTGGGTCAAACGATTTCGACCAGGTCCAATCAGACCCGTCTCTTCAGATGCGACGGATGTGGGACTTGGAGCTTGACCTTCCGGGATGGTAGGCACCCCAAATCGCTGGGGTTCCCGTCACCCAGACTGTCAGGCGCGGGACCCTTCAGTTGAACCCCAACAATGCCTAGGCTTTTTGAGTAGAGAGGTTAGACTAGGGGTACCAACCTTTTTTTTCGGTTTTGTCTGTTTTAGTAGGGGAACCCTCCCCCAAAAAAGGGGTGAGAAAGGGCACTAGGAGACCTGTGTGGCATCGGGCTTCCCTTCAGCTACCGCAACGAGACTTAAGCTCTCATCCCATCGAGCAGCTGAATGTTCATATTGTCATCCGCATCGTCACCTTCGCCGGTGCATTCCGAAGCCACGTGACCACTGCCTCCAGGACGGGCGGAATTTGTGGCCGCGCAGCTGGGACCGAACACGCGCACACAAATATAGACACCACATAAACTCACCATGCCTAGCCACACCTTTCAAAACGGATGTGCAACTAACTTTCTCGCCTGTAGATCAGTACCCCCTTGGCCCAAGGAGTACAGAAGCTGCCGAACCTTTGGTTTGAACCCTTTCCTCCTGCAATTATGATGATGACTCGCCCTTCCAACGAATGATTCGAACTGGATGACCTCCTATGTGGATCTATGTGGCACTTTAATTGCTGAAGCTGCATGACCGTATAAGCGGCTCATGGCTGAAGCAAGCCATGGGCATTTGCTGTATAAAGGATCCAGCAAATTGGATGCAACTGCGCTGCACCCCATGGCACACCCAAAACATATGGTTCAGCTTCTATACCATATTTAGTCAACCTGAAAGCACAAAAAATGGAGGAAACTCCAAATAGACTCGGAATCCGCCTTACTTGGCAGGAGACACTTGGGAAACCTGGAGCAAACAACTTGCATTGTCCAAGGCAGCAAACAAATGGACGCGGAAAACCAAGCCTTCCAGGCCAGGCACTACAGGCAACCAGGGGGGTTCATCATGAAAACCTACACGTAAAGGAGTTACTGGTTGCAGATTTTGTTATACAGTAGCAGCCTCCTGGAAGCACGCGGGGGTTTGGCAAGTTGCGCACCTCTGCAGCAACCTGGATAACTTCATATGATGAAGTTGCAGGCTTCCGTCACAAAAAGACACCCCTGGCAAAACAAGTTGGTCGATGCAAGTTCCTGGATGTCTCTCCCCGCGTATGGAAACTTCAAGGCAAATCTTGCTCAAAACCAGGAAATCGTAACTTCGATTTCGAGCGCCTCCGCAAAGGGTGCACTTCTTCTCCGACTTTGGGATGACAACTTCTCGGATGATGGAGAAGTGCGCCTGCCAAGGCGCGCCGGTGAGGGTGTGAGCGCCATATGCTCTGAAATGTCAGCTGCCTGCAACTTGGGGGTCCAACAGTAGATGGATTTGCCAGAAAGGAACTTCCAAACTGGGTGGCTTCCTTTTGGTTGCCCCATCCCAAAACGGGTGCCTTAAAAAACTGACGGTCTACCGGACCGTCTTTGGTTGCCGCCCGAAAGCATTTAGGAAGCCTCTGGGCCATGCGGCCCCAGCGGCTCGCGACTTTGGATCCCGCATGTGTTTCAGGGAGGCATCGCCCGTTCTGCTTGCCTTTTGCCCCATGGTATTTGAAGAAAGGGGAACTGAGAAAGCTCCATGAAAGGCTTTGCCGTTAGGAACATGCCCTCGTCCCAATTGGTATGTGTTGCTTGCAGGTACGTTGTGGCGTGATCAAAGCGAGCTGGTTGGTCTGGTTTTGCTGGCCTTGACAAGTGTCCCCCATGTGTTGGACAAATCAGCCCACCCCATAAACCGAGGGCTGTTTTAAGTACTCAGTTGCGTTGCTTCTTCTGCAACCCATAGTGTGTGTTGCTTTCAAACCGGGGTTGGTTTGTCGGTTGCTCAACTCAGATTTCCCAAATGCGGATATTTAAACCGAAGAACCCACAACAGAATCAACGTAGTCACCTGGAGACGCAAAGTCGACAGGCCCAGGGAACTCTTGGAATTCTCACTCAGGCTTTGAACGGCGCCGTGTCACGCGTCATACCCCCTTCGGCCCTATCCCTCGTGGGAATCGAATCAAAGCGCGCGCGCCTCGTGCGTGGCCAAGCCGAGCATGATGAGGTCAGCGTCGGCTCCGTAGAGGCAGTGCCTGAGGGGCTGGGGGAAAAGGCTCCGACGTGCCGAAGGAACAAAAGCAGCAAGACGGCCACTCCCAAGAACTCCCGCGGGCCTTGGTTGTGGCTCAAAGGAGACTCTTGCATGGGTTGACCCAAGGGTGAAGGACCCTCATACACAGGTGGCCTGAAAGGTGCGCTCAATGGACAAAACAGGGTCAAGAGACAAGGCCCGGACGCTGAACAAATCAAGGAACAACAAAGGCCACCAGCACCATCGCTGCACAGTTTTGCCAAACGAACGACGAACATTGCCACACCAAGCAGTGCAGCAGGAAAAGCTGTGTCAAACACCAAGAAGGCTTAGGTCGCCAAAAAAAACCTCGAAGAAACTAGGTGCTCGCAAAAAAAAGAAGAAGAAACAAACAACAACACAGAAAAACAACGAGTGTGGCCATGTCAAGACCTGAAACAAGGCCCCAAGAGCCCAAGAGGAAAGCCTTCAGCATTGGTCCTAAGCTGACCTAGCACGCCACAGGTTAGGAACCATTAAAATCGACACCCTTTGTATAAAAGCTCAACAACATGCCCCGGGCATGCATCCCCCCACATAGTATATATATATATATATAATGTATATCTTTCATATATTTCCTATATCCATATATATATATATATATATATATATTTCTATGGTACAGCGTTGCCAGCCCCGCCCCCCACCAATGGTCATGGGTCAGACAAGTACCCCCCCCTGTGGTTGTGGTCCTGTGGGGTTGTGGTGGTTCAGGGTTAGTTTAGAATTGGTTTAGGGTATATTTAGGGTGTATTTAGGGTGTATTTAGGGTTAGTTTAGGGTTGGTTTAGGGTTGGTTTAGGTTTAGGGTTTCTTGTTTAGGGATTGGTTTAGGGTGCATTTGGGGTTAGTTTAGGGTTGGTTTAGGGATAATTTAGGGTTGGTTTATGTTGATTTAGGGTTGGTGTAGGGTCTACGGTTTAGGGTTTGGTTTAGGGTGTATTTAGGGTTCGTTTAGCGTTAGTTTATGGTTGGTTTATGGTTGGTTGCGGGTTGGCTTGTCCTGGGGGTGGGGGTGCCGGGGTGTCAGGGCGCGAGTTCAGGGGGTCGGCGTGGGGGTGGGACCGTAGGTGACAGGATCCGGGGGCTCGGGGTCTCGGCCCGGGGGGGGGAGGGGTCCTGGGGGACCCATACCATATGGGGGGGGGGGTAGCAACACGGAACACGGGACCATATATATGTTTTCTACGTATATGTATGCTCCATATTAATGACCTGCATTCGTCATCGTTGACGTGAAGCATTGTTGTGCCAGGATCTTCCAGGGGCACCTACCCCTGGCATACATGCTTCATCCCCCAGACTTGGACCAAGGTTCTTGCCTGGTGCTTTTTTTTAAAGACCACCTAGTTTCACAGGAAAAAGAAGGGAAACCAAATGCAGAGGGGCGCGGTGCCTCGAGTCGATGCAACCCCTGCCTGGTGTTTGGGTCATAGTCCGGTTGCACGCGCTGCAGTCGGATGAACTGCATCACCTTGTGCTCGCCCTCGCCTCAAAATGCGTCGCGACCGAAACTTCGAGTGCCAGGTTGCCAGTGCCGTCACGCGACTTGGCGCGGAACCCCAAAAAGTTGGGCGAACAAAATAAGAGAGGCGCCTCCCCCCACACCACTCTTGTTCATAGACCGTGCGCCCGTGCGATTCTCGCGACATTCCTTGGGGCCTGTCTCGAAAGCTCGTGTGTGTGGCTGTATTTCTAAATGGGGGAGGCCCCTAAACCAGCAGAAGGTCTTAAAGTGGGTGGTATGTGAGGGTAAAACAAGCGGAACATGACGGATTGAGCTTTGCTCAAGGTGTCGGGTGGTGAATTCGATACAAGGGTGGCAAACCAACAATAAACTGTGACAGGAAAGCTTCATGAAGACTGTCCCACCACCTACACCTTGTGGCGGGAGCATTACTGTGCCCCTTGAAGGCGAGTGGCTACTTACCACCAGTAGCTAAGCTTGGGCCAGCTGCCTGAATACTCAAATCATCATTGTTGAAACATGCTGATTCAGGCTTCCACGTAAAGGCATCAAGTCTGCTCGACTTCACAAACCACTTTTCGCCCAGCCCTAGTCACACAGATCTGAAATGGCCGTTACCCCCACAAACGACCGCTGCAGTCGAGGCGCTCGGCACGTTTGCCTAGCATGGGCCGCGACCCCCCAGATGAAATACTATGGAACGGGTTCCGAATCTGCAGAATTCGTGGGTCCCTTGTCAAGAAAAGGTTGTTTGCAACAAAGCCAGACATCCTCTCACCACCCCGCAAATTAGATTGTCTTAGCAGCAAGAAGGAAAGGCACTGGGTGCCCGAGATTCCCTGGTAGAGCCCCTGTCGACAGTAACTAATTTGTTCTGGCAATCGCCCGGTGAAACACGCAACGGTCAAAACTGCTTCTATGAGGCCTCCAGCATAGCTCCCTGAACAGGCATCCTACCATGGTCGTCACCAACCCTTAGTCAGGGGTGATGACCGACCCTAGCAACCCTAAGTTGATCATGCCACAGATGAGGCGCGGTGTGGCACGGTCAAAATGACTTGCTCCCCAAGACAGGACAAGGGACACTGAGGGAGTCTCCTGCTTGCGCCCCAAACACATCGGACAATTTGACCGAACCCCAAATTTGACACGGCAAGTCTTGCCCAGATCAAAGTGCAGCCAAGAGGCGTCGGAAAGGATGACCCGGAACTTTAGCTTTTGCCAGAGTGGATCGTTGGTCGTACCTGGAGATGAACGCCCCGTCTTCTCTGTGAGCAATGGACAGCATTCTGTCATTTTAGGTAGCCCAGCATTTTGTTGGTGCCAAAGAGGAAACATGAGGTTTTAACGCCCCACGTCCTTCCCAGTTCCTTCCCACGAAAAAGGCGTCCAAATAGTGTGGATTGCTTAGTTTAAGTATGGAACTGGCTCAGAGCTGCATCCACAGTAAGGGCGGCACGGTCGTGGATGTAGTATCGGATTGCCTGCCGCACAGTCCCAACCGAAGCAACGAAGGATGGCCGTCGCCAGCCGTCCCCAGCGGCAAAAGCACAGCAAAACCCAGCACTATCAACACTGGAGCCCTCTTTTGCCATATCTGTAACAAGCTAGGATGCCCTGTTTCAAACACAGCAGCAAAGAAGAACACCTGCATTGCAGCAGAAGCGGGTTCCAGTGTTCCCAGTATAGCTACGAGTAGCATTGCCAGCATCAGCAGCACCCCTGGTATCGATATCGCTGACGTCACCGGGATCGCTGCGAGCATCGCATCACAAGAATGCAATCGCCAAACACACTGGGTAACAATGGAGAATCTGGCAAAGCATAAAACATACCCATCACCTGTGGTTCCCTTTTTGGTAAATTGGCAATCGTTGGCTATTTAACCCAGCCCAGTAGCATAGCCAGCTTCGGCAACACAACTCGTTGCAGGAATCAAAAATAAATGTATGTATGTATGTATGTATGTATGTATGTATGTATGTATGTATGTATCCATGTATGCACGCATGCATGCATGCATGCATACATGCAACGCAACGCAACGCAACGCAACGCAAAGCAATGCAATGCAATGCAATTGCAAGCTAATGCAATGCAATGCAATGCAAATGTAAATGTAATGCAATTGCAATGTAATGCACTGCAATGCATGCCTGTGTGATGATGCCGGTACAGCCAGCAAGTGTCACTGTGGCCAGAATCCCCAAACTTGTCATATCCTAGTCGGAAGGGTCGTCCCTGCCTCTGACATCTTGTGCAGAAAGTTCGTCCCTGGCGTGATAACCTCAAGGTTGGCAAAGTCTCTGGCAAACGAATTCAAGGTTGTCCGTTTGAACGACAATCTGCACCAAACTCATCCAGATTTGCCCGAATTGAGGAGCGACATTTGCCACATCTTGCAACATGTCCTGCTGATTTGTGTGGTTTCCCTTGTGGGCTTCCCTTCAAACAACAGGATTTTCACAATAAGGCACCCTACAGATGGGTTGAAAAAACAACCCCGTGGACAACCCTTGTATCCTTATGCCCTAGTATCGGTCAGTATCGTTTTTTCCTCTGCATCGGTTTGCAGTGTTTTGGCAGCTCTAGCTCGAACGTCGTGACTTTTCCGTACAAGTGTAGTATGCGAAGTACACTCTGCCAGCTCCCAGCTCCAGCTGGAAAGTCGCAACTTTTCAGTAGTATGCGTAGTAGACTTTGGCAGCTCCGGCTTCGGCCTGGCGGCCACTGAGTTGGGTATCGGTTGGGTATCGGTTTGGGTATCGGTTTGGGCCCTGCAAATTTATGATTCCGCGATCTTGGCTTGCGACGACAACTTGGACCTGATGTGTGTCTTCATGGCTTCTGGGGGTATCGGTTTTTCTTCCTCTGTATCGGTTTACAATGGTTTTGGCCTGCAAAACAAGTTAAGGGACGGCCCCTTACATAACGAAAAGGCGCGGGGTATTTTTTTCAGCCCAGGTGGCTTTCCTTTGGTTTCCAATTCAACCCACCAAAAAGGGTACTCTCAAAAAAGACCCCCCCCCCCCACCAAAAGGCGCCCCTGAACTGAGGCTCAGACGTTGGAGTCGAAGACCTTCCCTGCACTCCGGTTGGGCAAAGTTCGGCCTTCTGCCTGCCAAGAATGCATCCCCAAATTCACGTTGCAACCCAAAAAGCGGGGGTTCCCCAAAATTTGTGGGCGACCAAGCCAAACACATTTGGCTGTGGGTCAAAAATAGGTACCAACATGGAACCCTGGTAAGTGGAAACATGGACCAAAACCTGCGGTCCCCTGGTGGTTCAACTTTGACCCATGGCCATTTCTCTACAAATGATGGGTTTTGGGGTTGCGTAACAATCGGCAGGGGAGATCAGGGAAAGCGCCCGATCTCCCAAGCCCTCTGTGGGACAAGAGATAGTTAACTTCCTGTAGACAGTCTCCAGCTCCTTCACCCTCAAGGATGGTGCGAACTATCGCCCAAGCCTGTGGGGCAAGTTTGGATTCCATACCTCCAACAGGAAGCCAGGACTTCTAGGGACTGTTCCATGGATGTCACCGTCTTGTCAACCCCAGATTGATGCACCTCGCCAAAGTACAGGATTCCCCCCAAGATCGGACCCACACTATGCATCAGCCATGAGCCTCAAAAGAACACCCCGGTGACAGCCCTTGGGCCAATCCCACTCCAGACCCTGTTCACGCAGAACTAAGCTTTCCCCTAAACCCCGAACCCCAACACAGAAATACGGGCGAGCAATCAACCACTACATGGTCACTATCTCAGTTGTATATTATACCTATTTCCCTTTTGGGTAGTGGGATGGCGTCAGTGGAATGATCTTAAAGCCAGCTTCAGGCTTCATGAGTATTTTCAACAGAGCATGTAACCAATCGCTTAGATCAACGTGCATCCACGGAAAGTGCTTCCAGGTTGTTCTCCTAGAAGAAAGTGCTTCCTGGGAGAAATCAACCAACGCAATGACTGAGATGAGTTTCGTAGGGTCCTTAGGTTCCTGTTGGTGAGCGAACCCGATTGGTTTAGTTTGTTCAATCATGTTTAGTGGAAACCATCTTTGTTTGTCCAAAACGGATACCTAGGCTTGCGTCGGCGTTTCTCAAAATGCTGGACCCCCTTTTGGTTGCTATTTCAAGGGACACCACAAGGAAACCCACCATTTCAGGGGGGACCGGTTCCTATTCAGAGCAACACCAACAGGGATCCTTACATTCTTCACCTGAACATTGCAACTTGTAAATGGTGGTTTCCCTTTACTTTGGTGGAAAAAGCCATGTTTCCAATGGGTAAAATGCATCTTTTAAGGAGCCCTGACCAAGGCGAGAGGTGAGACCGGCCTCCCAGTCTTGCCGCAGCTTCTCCTGTTCTCGCTCCATCTCTTCCCGCTCCTGGAGGCGCTTTGTTTTTTCTAGGGGTTGATTCCTTGTCCATTCTTTTCAACCATAGACATTTCAAAAACCGGATCCGTGTCCAACCTGAAAAGCAGGATCCCTGGGGAAGGTACCCCTAGATTTTTCCCCTGCGCATCCAAAATGTGGATCAAAACCATTTTGGGATCCCGTTTTGGTTGGTAGGTGAATTCACCACCCATTTTGATAGTCTACCTTAAGTGGTTGGATTGGGATGTTCACTGGGGGTAGGATTTGGATTTTGACCCATGGCCAGGTGGATTTGTTCTGCAGGGCTTGTTTTGTGGCTCTCGTCCTGTGCTGCTCGGAAGCGTCGAGCTCTCTGCTGGTTCATCTTGGCACCTTCAAGCGCAACGCCGGGCCGCGGGGGGGTAATGTTGACCCAGGATTAATAAACTCGTCCCATTATTAGGGGGGTGTTCCCTCCAAAAGTGATGAATCCCACTAAAAGGGGACACCCCCTATTATTCAACCAGGGGTTTATTAATCCGGGGTTATCATTAATGGGGAAGGGGTGGGAGCCGCCAAGCAATGGATGTTCAGCGTAATTCTTCGACATGAACCCCTGATCTTTGGATTTGAGCGGCCCCGAAACCCTCATGTGTGAGACTGGAATACATCTCAAGCCTTCGTTTAACTTAAAGACTCGCCTTCGTTTTGGGGGCCCTTTGAAACCACCAATACATATCCCTTGCGCCGACCCTTTCAGTGGTAGCTCATGTTCAGCTTGCTTCCACACTAGACCATAGTTGATGATCATCTGACTTCACTACTTGCTCCTGTTCAGGACAGGTTTAGGACACCGCACCAAAATGAATAAAGGTTGGTTCGGGCTCGTGTACGTGTGCCTATGCATCTTCATGCAGCGATGATTTGATCATGGGTAATGGTCATTGAGCTCTCGCAGTGAGTAAATCAGCATAACGTGTGCCAGTACCACATCAAAAGCTTTGAACCTCTCCATTTGTGGAAAGCAAGTAAAGGCAACAATTAAGGGCCAGTTCTATGACCAAAAGCAGATCTCAGGGGGGGAGCGACTTTGCTGCCGCTGTGGCCGGGTCAAAAAAGCCTGTTCGACACAAATCATGGCTTGACCTGCTTCAACTCGTGAGGATAGCGGGCCGATAAATGTATATGATTGTGTTGGTTATTATCCGCCATGGTCAAATCTCCTCACATGAGGTATGGTCATGGCTCCCACACGAAGACACCCTTCCCATGGCCATCCAACCTGCATTTTAGAAAGGCTAAGGACCATCCTCCACAAAGCAATGCGTCAAACCTACAAACCCTTTTGTGTACATGAAACCCTTCAAGCCTACAAACCCTACAAACCCTACAAACCTACAAAGCTAAACCTGCAAACCAAAAAGAACCCCCGCAGGACCTAACCTGAAGCCAAAGGAGCTCACGAGCTTGACTTGACAAAATTGCATCGCCCGAGGCATCTGCGAGGCGCGACTCCGTCAATGGCCATGTAGACCAACCTCTTTGGCCTGACAGAAGGCCACGCCGAAACTGAAAAATGTCTTCCCCAAACGACTCCGCCTGACAAAAACAAACAGGGTGTAAAGCCACGATAAACCTGCTTGGTATGCCATATAATGTAAAATACAGGATATTCACATGCGTCTAGAAAGTCTGTAGAACCCCTTGGTACAATGCGAATGCGGTTTCCCACAGGGGTAGTTACCAGGTAGTTGTACCATCGGTCTTGCTAAAGGACATCACGTATCGACGGTACCAAAGTGCACAAACACACACATGACGTTTTGAACTGTTCACAGCGCCCTCTGGCTTGGAGATTACCGGCAACCCACGGAATTTGCGGACTATGCCCAAACCTGTGCGAAGGTTAGTTGGATGGCAGCTGGCACACTGGAGTCTGTTCTAAGCGTGAACCCCGCATGTTCGTCTCAGGCCTCACAATGCGAAACAGCCGGTCCAAGTAGAGGAAAATGTTCTCATACCTGAGCTTCACAGCGGGCCACTCGAAAGCCGCTCACCCACGTGTCCTGTTTGGACAAATAAATGGCACGAGTCCTCGTTAAAAACACATAGAATGAGCTTGAACCAAACTGAAACCAGCGCATTTCATCTTCAGACTTAGGTCACCTTTGCTCTCAATGAATCGAGATGCATGTGCTCCTCATCTTCCGGCGCTGGGCCATCTTCTGGATGACAGCATGGATGAATGATGCCTGAGGCAGTCACAAATCAACGACGTGACCGCCCGGTGCTTGGGCCCGTACCGTTCATGTCCAAGTAGAGGTTGTCAAAGTCGCCGTTCGGAGCCTCAAGCTGCAGGCGCAGTGAACAAGGCTCACTGCATTGCACGAATGGAATCAATGCTGCAAGGTCGCTTTCCAGCTTTGGAGCTACCATTCGCAACCAATACGGGAGGGGGCTATTTGGATGTGGTCTCCAAAAAAGGGAAACCCTTTGTGGGGAGGTTTGAAAAGGAACCAACACCAACTCAACTATCTGCAGTGCGTTTGGAACAAGCCCATTTTGGGATATGTTCCACTGGTTGGCTTCCTGGTTTCCCCAAAGACACAGACAGGGTGTTCCTACTGAACAAGCCGCATTTGATGCGAGGTGCATCGTCATCCAAATCCACCGGGACCATACGCCCATCCATCTCCACGGGCTCTCGCTCGATGGTGTCGCGGATCACTTTGGGATAGCGCACGCAGATCCATCCTGGCGGCGAATGGAAGCCACGAACCTGTGAGACAATAGCAAGGGCTTCCCAAAGACTATTTTGTTTAAAGGACTCCAACTTGTATCACGGAAGTGGGGAGAAACCCCTTCATCCCACAACCCTGATCCTGAGGCGTGTGATCCCTTCGCGCCCCATGCGACTTGTGGGAATCCGATCGCGAGAGCTGAAGAAACTTGGGCCCTGGTAAAGGATCCTCGAGCAAGGCTCGCCATGACTATTCGACCCCATCGGCGCAAACTCAAAATTGGGAAGCCAAAGGGAAACCAAATGCTCAAAGAAACCCGGGTGATCGAGTGAGGAAACCGAGGAAAAAGAACTGGCCCTTCCAATACAACAACCACACCGGTGGTTTGGAAAAAAAGCACCCCAGTTTCTGACTTTGATAGCCCCTGATGGGCCCTGCACAAGAACTACATGGATTTGTGGCTGGTTATGAATAAATAGGCAACCCAATGGATCTTTAGCAGACATGAAACCTGTGAGACTTCAAACTTCGGAGGCTCTAAAAGCGATGCCAATGGCGCCGCAAAGAAAGGCAGCACGTGCCTTGTCGACAACTCCCCTGCACTTAATTCGATCATTGCCCGCCCAAACTGCATCAATATCCTTTTGTAGACCTCTGATTTCAATGGCCTGTTCACCTGGAGAATACCTGGAGCCTCCAGGGCAACTGGGCACCGCGAGTTTGCACATGTCACTAGCGGCTCACAATTGACAGGACGAGTGTCTGAAGAACGTAGGAACCCCCATGGCGCGCACAGCCAGGTAGCTTGCTAGGTGATATTGAACGCGCCACGTTCAGCTACCAGCTAGCATAAGCAATCATTGCCGATCTGTGTCTGCATGTCGGGATGCCACGTTGCAGGCAACATGTCCAGTCAGCTGAAGCAATGTGTGCTTGGCTCGGGGGTGGTTGCTGTTTCTACGCTGGGCTCATGCCGGGCTCGCACCAGCTGGTGAGATTGTCTGGCAAAACTTCAAGACGATGCATGCGCAAAGTTGTTCACGTCCCGTAGTTTAGTTTCAGTGCTCTGTATGTGTCAGCTGCCTGTCATGCCAAGGAAAAGCTCACGGAAATGCATGTAGCACAATGTGATACAAAAACCAAATTTGGCTCTTCGCTTGAACCATGCGCGGCGTCAAATTTACCTTGGCACCCTACACTCCAAGGTGGCAAACTGAAACTTGGCCAAATCTCAAGGCCTGTCTGTCTGGCCAATGCCACCTTGGACAAGAATGCGCACCATGCAACATGCCTGACAGTTGATACAGCATGATCCTCAACAACCCTCTTCATCCAGGAAAAGTGACCTAATGTCCCAAAGTTTATCCTGCAACCCAACCCATGGCTCGCTTGGGAAGCAATGCCAGTAAAGTCCGCCTGACAGCCTGTACTGGAAGTGCAGGTACGTTTGGCTCAAGGCGAGGTATGCCGTTGATGCCTCAGCCGGGCACGGAGCGGCCGCAGCTGTGCTGGCGGAGCCGTGGCTTCGGGCCGTGCGGGCTCACCTTGCTGCAAGGCCGAGGTTGGTTAAAAGTTTGGACACAAGAGTTGCTCTTGCAGTTGAAGTAAAGCAACTGCTGAGAATGTGAATATGTCATAATATGTCCTATCTAAAATAGGCACTAGTGTTTCTCTTGCTCACAGCGAACTATAGTTTCTGGGGGGGGACACTATAGTTTCTGGGGGGGGGGGAATCAAAACCGCCTGTGAAAAGTATGTGTCTTGTTTCAAGACTAACTCCCTGCGCAGACGAAGCAAGCAAACGCACATGCAGAAAACACAACACACATCTCCAGGAAAAAACAAAAAAACAAAAAACAACAACAAAAAAGGTTGCACACTACCTGGGGCGATCTTGTTTTGAATTTATTGCAGAGAACAAACCTGGCGCAGATTTGTTTAGTTTGTTTCTCTCCTTTTGTTTACTATATAAAACTCCAGGCTGTCCGAACAAGCTTTCGCTTGCATAAACAAACATGTGCACGCTCCATGCAACTCACTTGTTTTATGCTCGCAAAGTATTGGTGAGTAAGATTGACTCAAGCAAACTTTCTTTGCAGGCTACAGTAAAAGGATTGTTTCTGGCCGAGAAACTCCGAGTATGCCCCTGCATGTACTGAACGCTTGCAACACCCAACAAACCGCAGTAAGGTTTACTTTGCAGGGCTTGCCGCGCCCACACAAAAACAAGCTGTTGCTTTTATGCGGGAAGTGGGGGATAGAAAGACTTGCCACTCCTTTTGGGTGGCCTCGCTCCGTGTCACTGCCCACAATTCGGCCAAACACGTTGCTTGGCTTGCCGCCATCACAGTGGCGACCATCGCGCAGCCGGCCACCTGATTTTCGTCGAAACTCCTTATTACGTCCTCTATTACAAGAAATCCTTTCCACATGAGCCACGCTCAAAACATGCTGTCAACAGACTGCGCATCCTTCCAGACTCCTCTTTGCAGGAATAACCGCTGGGAATGTCAGGAAAGACCCCTGGAAGACCATGCTCCATCACACTGAGCCAGGGGAAAAATATGCTGTTCGTTACCAGCAACAAAGGCGGGAACATTGCGGCTCTGTCAAATATAAGCTACCGGACAGGAGGAGGAGGAGAAGGAGCAAGAGCAAGGAGGAGAAACACAAACAGGGCAAAAGAAACAGAAGCAAAAAGGGAAAACAACAAGAGAGAGAGAGAGATAAAAACAAACAATGGAAACAACGGGCTCCAAACTATGTTTCCTTTGTTTGTGAAATTTATGCCCCTGGGCTTCACTGGCCTTACCTGATTCTATTTGCACTCTGTGCAAACTATTTTATATGTTCAGAAACAATCCGTACGTATAAATATGTAGAAGAGTGAATATATATATATATATAATATATGTTATATACACATTATATATATATATATATATACATACATATATATTTTCAATTGATAAAGCTGGGAATATGTGTACTATCGAATTGAAACGATTCATCAAATGAACAACTTAGTCCGCAGCTGAATACATAAAATCAGCTGAAATTAATTGAATTGTGTTTATATTCGGACATCTTCGCGTTCCCAAATAACAATTTTACGACAACAAAGTTCTATACAAATACGCATCAGAAAACCGATGGCCCCTTCACGTTGAAGCTCTTCTGCTGTGATGCCAGCCCGGACCACACTCTCGTAGCACTCCTGGGCCGTTAGCCCACTGTTGCGCAGCTGCCTGAGTGTGAACCCAGCCTCCTTTAAATCACATGGTGTGAAGTCAGCATCTGTGAGTTGCCGGGCCGTCAGCCCACTGTCGCGCAAAGCCCGGCATGTGAATCCTGCCTGCCGCAACTGTTGAACCGCAAATCCAACATCCAAGAACTCGCGGGGTGTAAACCCTGCTGTCCTTAGATCCTGTGGTGCGAAAGCATCTTTGAGCTGCCGGGCCGTCAGCCCACCGTCGCGCAAAGCCTGGCATGTGAATCCTGCCTGCCGCAACTGTTGAACCGTAAATCCACCATCCAAGAAATCTCGGACTGTGAACCGTGGTGTGAGGTCAGCATCTGTGAGCTGCCGGGCCGTCAGCCCACCGTCGCGCAAAGCCTGGCATGTGAATCCTGCCTGCTGCAACTGTTGAACCGTAAATCCACCATCCAAGAACTCGCGGGGTGTAAACCCTGCTGCATCTTTGAGCTGCCGGGCCGTCAGCCCACCGTCGCGCAAAGCCTGGCATGTGAATCCTGCCTGCCGCAACTGTTGAACCGTAAATCCACCATCCAAGAAATCTCGGACTGTGAACCGTGGTGTGAGGTCAGCATCTGTGAGCTGCCGGGCCGTCAGCCCACCGTCGCGCAAAGCCTGGCATGTGAATCCTGCCTGCTGCAACTGTTGAACCGTAAATCCACCATCCAAGAACTCGCGGGGTGTAAACCCTGCTGTCCTTAGGTCCTGTAGCTGCCGGGCCGTCAGCCCACCGTCGCGCAAAGCCCGGCATGTGAATCCTGCCTGCCGCAACTGTTGAACCGTAAACCCACCAGCCAAGAAATCTCGGACTGTGAACCGTGGTGTGAGGTCAGCATCTGTGAGCTGCCGGGCCATCAGCCCACCGTCGCGCAAAGCCTGGCATGTGAATCCTGCCTGCTGCAACTGTTGAACCGTAAATCCACCATCCAAGAACTCGCGGGGTGTAAACCCTGCTGCATCTTTGAGCTGCCGGGCCGTCAGCCCACCGTCGCGCAAAGCCTGGCATGTGAATCCTGCCTGCCGCAACTGTTGAACCGTAAATCCACCATCCAAGAAATCTCGGACTGTGAGCCGTGGTGTGAGGTCAGCATCTGTGAGCTGCCGGGCCGTCAGCCCACCGTCGCGCAAAGCCTGGCATGTGAATCCTGCCTGCCGCAACTGTTGAACCGTAAATCCACCATTCAAGAACTCGCGGGGTGTAAACCCTGCTGTCCTTAGATCCTGTGGTGTGAAGTCAGCATCTGTGAGCTGCCGGGCCGTCAGCCCACCGTCGCGCAAAGCCCGGCATGTGAATCCTGCCTGCCGCAACTGTTGAACCGTAAATGCACCATTCAAGAACTCGCGGGGTGTAAACCCTGCTGTCCTTAGATCCTGTGGTGTGAAGTCAGCATGTGTGAGCTGCCGGGCCGTCAGCCCACCGTCGCGCAAAGCCCGGCATGTGAATCCTGCCTGCCGCAACTGTTGCCCCGTAAATCCACCATCCAAGAACTCGCGGGGTGTAAACCCTGCCTGTTCTAATTGGAGAAACGTTAGTCCACCATCCAACAGCTCTTGCAATGGAAGCCCGGCCCTATAGAAATTCAAGCCGCCTATGAAAAGCTGCTGAAGTGTCAACCCTGCCTGGGTCAGCTGTTGGGCAGAGAAGCCAATCTCTATCAAGGCTTGAATCGTATGTCCAACATCTAAAAACTCCTGTGGTGTGAACCCTTCAAGCCTCAGCTCTTGTGCTGTATATCCCACGCTTTGCAGTTCTGAGAGTGGGTAGCCTGCCTCCTTAAGCTCTCGTAAGCTGACCTGAGCCCGCAGCTCAGGAAGCGAGCTAATGCCTCCCCAGCCTTCAGCCTCCCCGAGTTGGTGTCCCATTTCTGCGAGTGTGAATCCTGCCTCGCAAAGAAATCTGTTATCACAACCACAGCTCTGAAGCTCCCGGATCTTCGTGCCAGCCCTGCGGAAAACTTTGGGATGGAAGGAAGATGCCAGCATCATGCAAATCCATGGCCGACGAAGATCATCATGTATCTGTACTGGCACCGGCATGTCCGGTGCTGAATCTCGTGCGAAACGAAGGAATTCAATCAAAGGCAGAAATATTTGAGGCGAATAGTCCACAAACATGTGACCGTTGACATCGATGGAATTCTGCCAACGGTCGGAACACATAGAGGCGAACATGTTGTCACCCACCACGCTGAACAACTCGGGCTTCACTTGGATGATCTTCTCACCACCAACATTGATGGTGATGACATTCCGATCTCTGCTTGCCATTGCTGCTTCAAGTGCCAGGCTCGCTAGAACGGGGAGAAAACGTGTGGTGTTTATATGTGGTGAGGTGGCAGTAAAGATAAAACAATCTGAACACTAGCTCAACTCATTGTTGTCAAGTGCTTTTATCAAGGCTATTGGCTTCCAAACGATGCAAACAAACAAGATTCAAAAGGTTGTTGGGTGTGCAAGTTGAACTTCGTGCTTTGAACTGCTCACTCGCATTTCATAGGACAGTGAGTGCGACGCGCTGCTTCGAGCCTGCTTGAGCTCAAAGAAAACAACAGCAGCGACAGGCTTGTGGCCACGTCCAAATCATGTCCAATCATTTATCATCACAGGAATGGCCCCGTGAAACACAGCGGCATCACCCCTTGAGCAAACATGTCAATGCATATGATTCTACCATCACTTACTGTCCTCATGAATGTTGCGTACATTTGCCCAAGATTCCCGACTTCTAGGCCCCATCACCTCAGAAAAACCCGATGGTTCGGGCCTGGAGCGGTCGTCTGCTGCAAACGTCGCCCCCATCAGAAGCCTGCAGATTGCGGCTTGTCTATCCCAGTGCATCCAGTAGGTAACCAGGTATTTGTACCTCCAGACCTTACATGATGACATCCCGGGGTCACCTACTATAGTGGCAGCTGGAAGCAGCGGGTATGGCTTCTGCTGGGATGACTTTGTGCCGAGTTGTTGGTCTCCGTGGCAAATGTTCATTTCCAGGAGCTCGGCATAGCACTCCCGGGGAGAGGGTTGGCTTAGGCTTTGCCTTCGGTTGGCTTCGGGTTGTTGCTTTTGTTCAGGGTGGGTTCGGGTTCGGCTGCAGGTTGGTTTGAAAGGCTTTGATTTGGGGGGCTAAGGCTTGTTTAGGACTGTGCAAGCTTTGGGTGGGTTTAGGGTTGAATTACAGTCCCTTGAATCCCTTAGCCCTAGGCATCGTTTAGGTTGGGGTCAGTTGGGGCTGTCTTAGGCTTAAGTTGGGTTTAGGCCAGGGCCCAAAGGTTTCCCCTTACCTACCAGAGTGGTAACTGGAATCACTGGGACAGGTGTCCTTTTGCGAAAACAGATGGATTTCCCTGGGCACAAGTTGGAAAGAGAGTACTGGCACTCATGGGACCGTGGACCCCAAATTGACCCTAATCGAATCGGCACCAGATTTGGATTGGGGGGCTGCTTCTGCAAAAGCCTTACCAGCAGGAAGTGTCAACCCTTGCTCCAGCTGCACATTCACATGAACATAGTTCCAGCTTAGTCTTCAGCGGAGCAGCAATGACTTTGACAGGATCTAAAATGGAATTCTGCTCGTGCGACGCTTGCAACCCATCTACCAGCAGACCTCCGACAGCTCATCTGAGTCGTCGTCGCCTGGCTGAGAACGAGTTTTGAACCCTTGTAGCTACTGGGCATCGTCTCAGCTCAAAGCTCGCCCAATAACTGTGACCAATGGGGTCGACTGTGCCCTATCCATGAGCACAGCCTGCTTCACCATCTGGCCAAAGCACTGGTGGATCAAACATGACAGAGGGCCTAGAGGGAGCCTACCGGTGGCCCCGTGAGTTGTCTAACTTTGTGTGAGTGAAATGATAACCCCATATGGCCTGGTTGACTTTACGACCTTATTCCAGCAGGGAGTCCCTGTACCGCCCCCTCTGGTGGTGTCAAACATCACCTTTCCGTCAATTCAAGGTGTCTATCCGTTTTTCAAAGTGATGTTTGGGGAAATTTTGGAAAACGGGCTCCAAGGGTTCACGCAAACCGATAATGTGGCAACCTCACGGTTTTTGTCTCAAAGTAGAAACCGGAAACCCACAGAATGGATGCATGTTCCTGTTGGTCCTTCTTGACTCTAGCCAAACCATGGGTACCCAACACAAGACACACCCAACTGGCTTCAATGAATCCGCGGAAGGTGAGACGTGCGCAAGAACCTGCAAACTTGAGAGGGAACGAGCGGAGAGCAACTGAACATGTTGCTCTGTTTGTCAGGGATTCGGATTTAGATGTGTCCAAACATCGGGTACTTGTACAACCGGCCGTTAGTTCCCCAGACAACATCTTCCAAAAGGGGCTGCACAGCTTTTGAACAGCCCAAATTGATCGCAGTTTGGGTTGAGCTTCAATTTGCAAAGGCCTGCTGCTCAAATAACGTCTCGGCAAGGGTATAAGTAACTGTCTAGACATGGCCCGTTCCCGAATTGACAGGCGCCACAGTCAATAATCGTCGCGCCAACTGACATGGAATGGTGAGTAACCCCGGCAAGTCTTGGGTATTTCGGTGTGCGTGTGTATGTCTCTCATGTCTTTACTACCGAAAATGACAGGAAAATGACAGTAAACTTATGATATTGACGGACTACCAGTTTCATTGGTACAATCTGTACACCCAATCCACATCAATTCAAGCAAAACCTGAGAAATCCCATCTGACCCCAACGAGGGTGCTATTTCAGCCCCATGTCCAGGGCTTCCCTGGAGGGGTGTTGTTTCTATTCTGCATGACAACTTGTCATATACATGGGTGAGCTATGCAAGGCCGGGTGTGTGCACGAACAACTGTATGTGTAAGTGTAAAGTGTGAAGTATAAAAGGACAATGTGTGCAGCGTAAGTTGTAACGTCAACGGAAACGTACATGTCAAAGTGCAAGATCAAGTGAGTCAGAATCAGAACCCGGTATTAAAATTGTCGACCCAGAACCATGTAAAGAATTGAGAAGGCGGTCGTAACTACCTATGGTTAGGAGTATCCCTTACTAACCTTCGTCTACCCAGGTTTTCATTGTGTCTCAAGTGCAAACTCTAAAGTGTGAAGCGCAAAATGCAAAGTGTTGTAAAGTGTGGAGGGTAGTCTGCGTCGCCTTCTGGGCACGGCCTTAAGGGAACCACTATAACACCCATTCAAATGGTTCCCTGGGTTTTGGCCCAACACGTACCGAGAACTTTCCTGGCAAACAAGTCGGCGCACCATTTCTGCTGGGGCTGGCAGCACCTGGCCTGTACCTCCCAAGGCATCCATCCAGACTCAAGCGGAAGTGCAATATCTTAGGGCAGTCTTTAACTCCCAAAAAGCAAGGAGCTGTTTGATGCTTGGCGGTGCCACACCGATGTTGCCAAAAAGCTTCTAGGATGCTAGGCACAAGGCGGGCCTTTAGTGCAAGCTAAAACTCATGCAAGCTCCCCCAGATGTCAAAGGTCAACCCAGCCACCAATTCCTCTGCTTGCTTCTCTGGCCTGGGGCATGCAAGGCAAGGCTACTCGCTTTTTGTTAAAACCAAGTCGAGGCAACTTACAAGAAGAAGGCCGATAAAATGAAGTTGAATCCACATCCAAGTGAAAAACGATGATTCGGGCACCACAGGAGAAGTCTCAATCGCGGCAAAAGAAACGGATTTTGGGTAGGCCACCCATGGTTCCCCCCCCAATGAACCGTAGACGACCGGGGCACTTGGTCATAAGTGCGCGAGCTGATTCAGCATCCTTGACCCTGTCTCGACCATCCAAAGCAGAAGAAGTGTTTCCAACGGAGACCACAAGATGTGCATGACACGCATGAACATGGTTATGGCAAATTGGAAGCTTAGAAGGGGATTTATTGGGTATCGCAGAATGCGGCACTTTACCCATTTTATGCCACCATGCTCATAAAACATGCACACGGGCCATGCACGATGAGTTGCTTTCTTTTGCCGGGGGGGGGGGGGAGAAGACATGAACATTGAGTGGGCCCCTCGTAATTTGTGAATTTGGTTCCCAAAAGAATGGATTGCCAAAAAAGACCAACCAGCCACGATACCAGGGTTTCAAGATCGGACAATTTTCAAGTCACCCTCGAGATCGGTTGCATGTGACATGGTCAAACCTCCGAATCTGTGGGTGATGGCTGTGGCTCCCTTAGGAACCCTTCACATTGGCTGTCTAAAATTCTACAGCTATCAGTTTGTGGTCAAACCCTCAGTGTCTTCGCGTATTGAGGGTAGTTTACTCATCGGCGTTTTGAGGTAATGTCGTCGGTCATTTATATAATGCTTTCAGAAGTGAGTAGTAGTGACCGTGGTTTCCTGCTTATCGCCGTTGGTTGAGTGATCTGATGCGAGCAAACCAATCAGCTGTGAACGTGGGGTGTTGCTATGTCCTTGGGTTCTTCGGCTACTCGTTCGTTGCCGATTTTGATATTGCTTTCCCGAACTTGAACTGCAAGTGCCACGTGGCAATAGC